GCCGGAGGAGAACTACTTCTCCTCACGGCGCACGATATGGTGCTCCGCACTGTACAGGGTACCGACAATTACTTTAGCATCTCTTGTAGGCAAGTAGAAACTGAGTCGTAAAGTCCTATACTAGTTTGCTAGATTTGCAATAGTTATCGAGATCTTAATTAACAAAGATCCGCGAATAAGCATGCATCGAGCTGTCTTACGCGCGTAAGACTGCTCGGCGCGTTTTGCATGCTCACGGTGTTACTCGTAGCAACGTATGAAAAGAGCTAATATAACAGTATGTACTGTAACATATACATAATAAAAAGTACCCGCGAAGACAGTCCAATGCACGCTCATTTGCAGATCTTTATTAATTAAGATCTCGGTAATTATTGCGAATCTCGCAAAGTGGTAAAGGACTTTTTGACTCAATATAACTTTCTCTATTTGCTCACGAGAGATTGTACGGCAATTACTGGACATTCTATTGTATATTGTGTGACATCCCGAGAAAAAATAGAAACTTACCCAGCAAACACAGATATATAACAGCAACATTGTCGTAATAAAACAAATGTAACAAGTAATATAACATGGTTGTTACATGTAACATCTATGTTAGTTATAATTTTTTACTTATCGTATATTGCAGTTATATAATATGAATATAACATGTAAGCCCGGGAAAAATGGATTAAATCTAAATAGATCTAATTTAAATCTAACAAGATAAAAAAAATGGAAAACTAGATCTAATTAGATCCAAATTAGATCTAAATAGATATAAAGTAGATCTAAATAGATATACGTAAATCTATGTAAATTTACACTTTATTTATCATTAGATTTACTTTAGATCTACTCAGATCTACTATATTAGATCTATTCAGATCTGCTTAGTTTTGTTTAGATCTGCTTAGATCTAATATAATAAATCTGAGTAAATCTACTATAAATCTAAAATAGATATACTGATAAATAAAGTGTAAATTTATATAGATCTATTTATATCTGTTTAGATCAACTTTATATCTATTTAGATCTAATTAGATCTATTTTTCCATTTCTTTTATCTTGTTAGATTTAAATTAGATCTATTTAGATTTAATCCATTTTTTCCCGGGAGTAGAATGTAATATAATTGTTACATAGTTACAGAAATGTTATATGAAAGTTATAATGTCATTACCAGCTAATAACAAGCAATATAATGGATATATAATATAATTATATTACATTTATAAAACAAAGTTACATATATCGATGTTAATAGAGTATAACAGCTGTTATATTACGTATATCACGCTGTTACTTCTGTTATATAGCAGTTATATTCTGTGTTTGCTGGGTATGATCATATAAGATTCAATATAAGTGACCAGATCGCGCTAAATTTCGGATCTAATTGTATATGATTATACACGATTTGCTATATTTATATATGATCATATAAAATCAGATTGCGTCAAATTTCGGATTTGATTTTACACGATCACATAAAATCATATCTGACTTTTATAAAATCTTATATAATTATATAAAACCATACCCGATATATAATCTCACATGATCATAGGTTTTTTATTTTTTCTCGGGATTAGTATATTAGATGATAAATATGAATTTTTTAACAGGTGCATGGTAAACGCTGTTGACGGACTCCACAGGTATTCACCAGATACTTCCACTTCGGATGTGTCTTCGAATGGATGCGGCTCACCCGATCGAGGAAGAGTTCTGTTATCTTCCTCGGCATCTCCGTATCTGTCAAACTTCAGAAGGAACGATCCGATAGAGATCACCAGCAAGGTCGGCGAGTTGTCACAAGAAAGTAAAATGTCCAGCGAGTGCTCGTCAGATGAGACAGTCATTTACGTAATGAAGCCATCCGAGAACGAGCAGGTGGTGCGTAATCGTTCCAAGACTGAAGATGAAGAAATTGAAAACGATGTAGACGATTATGCAGACGACGATTCGCAGGAAGGACGGAATAGTCTTGACATCGGCGATACTCAAAAGATTTTGCCAAGAATTTACTCGGCTGTCAACTCGGTCAGTTCTCAGGACAGCGGTATAAATCTATCTTTCCACGAAAGCGATAAGTCAATAGATTGTCTCGATCTAAAACGAAGCAGCAGCGCCGAGTCCAATTCTACTAACAATCACGGACGAAAACTCAAGACAACGTCGATGATGAGCTTGTCAAGCAAAAGCGTTAATAAACGACAAACACGACAAACTGACAATCTTTCAGAAGATGAAGAATGTCCGTGCAATCTGAGAGAAGAAGAGAACGACAGTCAAGAGACAAAATTTGGAAACAATGATTCCAACGTGGGATTTTCACGAATTCAATGGCACTGTCCGCCGAAAAACATCTGGAAGCCTTCAGTGGAGGCTATACAAGAGTTTGACATGATTCGAGATAATGATCGGGTTCTGGTTTGCTTGTCACTGAACGGTACAGACTCGCTTTCCTTGCTACATACTCTACATCAATATAAATTCTACGTCAGATCAAAGGGAATCGACTTTGAGATCGCTGCAGCTACTATTGACTCTGGTCGATCCGATCCTGTAGAATTGACGAGTTATCTAAAAACATTAAATGTGCCCTACTTGTATGAGGAGCAAGTGACGGAGTTGACTGGCGCCAGCATCGATAATCCGCTGGAAGTCAACATTGCCAGCGAAACCTGCAGTTTTTGCGATAAATCAGTCAGAACCCAGTTGTATTCTCTCGCAAAACAAAATGGATACAACGTGTTGGCTCTCGGTCAGCATCTAGATAATCTTACAGAGAGTTTTCTCATTTCGGTCTTTCATGGCGGCGTGTTGAGGACTATGAAAGCACATTATTACATACGTCGAGAGAATCTCAGAGTTATCAGACCCTTCATTTATGTACGAGAAAAGGCACTGAGACAGTTTGCCGAGAACAAAAAGCTACCAATCTCGCAAAAATCACGAGTGTCGCATTTATCTGAGGTAAGCAATTTGAAACAATTTGTTCAGTCTATAGGCATAAATATAAAATATATAAATATATATTTTTTTATATAAATATAAAATACATAAATATATAAATTATTTTATCTGATGTATGCATCCACACAAAACAAAAACTCTATTAAACGTTCATTAAACGTCAACAGCTCCATGCAATATCTAATAAATGTCTAATAGAGGTTTTGTTCTGTGTGGATATGTATACACAATAAAAAAATTCTAGGTAGGATCTCAAAGGTCATTGTCATTATTTTGATATCTTTAATAATTTATTTTTTTTCTTTTGTTTCTTCGAATAATATAGAAACAAAGTAGAAGAAAGGAACTAATGCTTTATCAAGAGCGCGCATATCCTCGACTACATTGGTCCGTGCGCACAGCTCTACGACCTTTGATAACTGCTCACGGCCAAATATCTACTTTCGACTTAACTTGCGCCGGTAGTAACATCATCAACAGTTCGGGCATCAGCAGCAGCAGTAGCACTACTAACAGCACCAGCAACAATATGTGCAACAACAGTAATAACGACGACGGCAACGGCAACAACGCCGAAAATCAACAGAAACGACATCGAAGAACAAAGAATTCTTCATTGGCAACCATGTCTTCTTCATCGCAACAGACTGACGAAAATAACGAGACCGACGAAGAACCAATACTTTGAGGAGGGCCTATCGCGAGATGGGACTTCGATCGTTCTATGGTCTCATCCTCGCGTCCTCGTCGCAGCTGTCCGACATCTGCTCTCCTTAAAAAAAGAAGATTGCGCTTTGCCGCGAGCATAGTCGCCAAGATTAATAATTGTACTCCAAGCACGACAAATGAGCGGCGCTAAATAAAGAGTAGTGTTTAAATATGGTTTAAAAAAATCCTGAAAGGATTTTTTACTTTTGTTGAACAACACATTGAGCCTTCACGGAACATTTTCATATTTCCGGACGTTACATATACGTTATTGACGTGTGAGATATTTGCCGCATCTTGCTTGCTGAATAAAAACTATGTTTTTTCTGTTAAAAAAAGAAATAAAGTTGTATGGAGTTGATGAGATGAGACATTCTTGATTGAAACCAATATAAATGTATACGTGTGAAAATTGTCGCAGTGAATAATAGCTACTATCAAATTAATGAATGATCTCAGATACGAGCAGTTGCTTTCTAATTAGCCAAACGTTTTCGAAAAAAATCGACAGAATGTTATTTATGTTAACGGTGATAACATAGGAACAATGTAAATTTTTGTGTTAATGACGAATAAAACGCTTGCTTGTGGATACTTAAACGTATCTGCAGCTGATTGCGGAATTATGGCTGCTCCTTGAGAAAATTAGCGGATTGCTAAGGAACGAAATAATCACGTTGCTACGAGTCGTGTTATTATTATGAGTAAGTTCCACTTGCTGTTTGCAACGCTCATAGAATCATTTTATCTTTGTTTTTCATCGAAAGTTAAGCAAAGATAAGTAACGCTCACGAGCGTTGCGAACGGCAAGTGAAACTTACCGTATACATTATCAGCATATAACGATAAGATATACAATTATAAGAGAAATAAGATCGCGATAAGCGATAGCTGCTTTAAATACTGAAACAGATATTATACATTACATGTTTAGAGGAGTTATGCAGCGAAGGGAGGGATCAGAGAATCTGTTTTATAAGAAGGCCAAGACTTCGGCCACTCCTACAAAAAATATATGATTCGCGACAAGAATAACTTTTTATATATAAGAGCTGTCATTGCAAAACCAGCAATTTCTATTTTTCACAATTCTTGAGTTATTATATTCTACGTGTTGTTACCATCTAATTTAATAATGCTCTTAATATATGCGCTTCTATAAAAGCATATATGTTAACAGCAGAATCCTATTTAAAATAACGTCTAAAAATAGATAGTCACTACAGTCAAAAAGTTTTTGTCAATTCCTAAAAATATATGTAAGTGAAGTTTACTGGTTTTGCAATGACACTTTTCTCATATATACATATATATATATATGTATAATTTTGTGTCACGTTTGTGATATTCTACTAATTAAGATAATTTCTCCGCAATCAACAGAGATGTTTTGTAAGCAAGTAGATTTAGATTAGATTTCTCTCTAATGATTCGTTTCCTAAAAGTGTTTTTGGTGAGATAGCTTTTAACTTTCTTGACAACTTAAAGACGATCTCATTTTTTGCGGTCAGAAAAATGCGTTCTCTAAATAGTTTATCGAGAAGGTATTTTCAGAATTTTGAATGAATTGAAGCGATAACGCGACATTACGTTGCATCAGTTAACTTTTTTTCGAAAAGAGCACTTTCTTGGTTACACTTTATTTAAATAAAATAAAAGAACTATATTGAATGATATAAAACAATTATATTGACAAATTGCAAGGTTTTGATAGTTTCTCGCTTGCATAAACTTTGACTTCAAAGAAAAAGAGAGAGAGGTGTTTACGCACATAACACGTAAGAAATTAACGCATATGCTTTTCTCACAAATAAAGCGTGAGTGAAGCGTGAATAAAATCAGACATTGGAGACTGTGAATTTCTCAAAACAAATGTACAATTGTACGTTCAAAAAATAGTTAAAGAATGTAAAATTATTACTATTGCCTTATATTTTCTACGTTGTGCGATAAATACAAGAAGTTTGGAACAATAAAATATTAATTTAAAAGTTTGTTAGAAAAAACAACAATTTTTTCATGTCTAGCAGTTTTGACTATCTCCAATGTTTTAAGCTACAAAACGAAGGCTTTCCCTCTCAATTGGCACTACTTGTAATATAATAAGATTTGAAGATGTTACTAACAAAATACAACTGCAATTTCTTCAATGTGATTTCATTTATTCAATTGATAAATTTTGATACAACAAATATGAGTGATGAACGAATAAAGAAACGAAAGTAAAAGTTATAAATTACTACAGAAAAGAATTTATAAAAAGATTGTAATAAAAGTTTTTTTTATACATTATAGATATATTATTAGACATGTAACGAGAAAGGATGAATGAAGTTACGTTGAGAAGAATATGCATGGTATATACGCCAATCGAGAGGACCAGCTGGATATGGCATAAAGAAACTTATAAGAATAGCCCAAGAAAACGTTTAAAGTTTTGCAACAGGACGTCCAATAAAATAGTTTGTAAATCGATAAGCATCAATTGCTATTTGACTATGATACAACAACACAGTGGTCTTATGTTATTTACTTTTTCTCTCCTGTTCGGCTGTTGTATGCTCGCTAATGGTTAGAAATCTAAGTAATGTTTAAGACTTGTACGTAGATCGCATGTGAAGTAGACGATGATTATATAAAATAATATGTACGTATATCATATGTATCGTACTGAATTTTTTTAAGTGTTCGTTTATTTGTTTATTTGTAATACATCGTTAAATCAAAGACATAAAAAAAAACATGGAAAAACTATCAGATGCTATAAGTGAGGAGAAAGTCTTGATCTATACGAATCTTTACGAATAGATATTCTTATATTTTTCAAAAGTTATGGAAGGAATATTGTTACTGTAAAGATATGTAAATTTATTTATCACTAATAAAAATGAACGTTTAAGAAAAAATCAAACTTTTATATTTCTACTTAGTAAAAAAAGTCATTAATATGCGACGATATAATTAACATTTATAATGACACATTAAATAAATTTTATATGAAAAATCTCTTGTAACTTTGTGTGTGTGTGTGTGTGTAATTTAAAACATCTAAAAAAAATATTTCTTTCAATGTATATTTGGTAATTACCTAACAAACAATTTCTGACTATATTTCAGACCTTGGCAACAGAAACTGTGTGCAGAAACGCTACAATACGGAAACATGCTTTGGTGCTGCCAAAACTGTTAGCACATAGAGACAAAAAACGCAACAACTCTGTTGGCAAATACATGAGAGTATTGCGGCCAAAATGATTCCATATATGTTAGTGAAATTGACAACAAATAGATGATCAATAGCAAGCAGATCTGCTTCTAGCAATACTATGACCGCAAACAGTCCGCAAAACGTACGAGCATCTGTTTATGACAAAACGGTGATCGCAGTCGGGTCGATCTGTTGAACGCATTGACGACAGATTGCCAGCAAACGCCAAGCAGATCTGTTCATGCATACGTGCGGATTGTTTGTATGCAAGACTACTAGACTGTTTGTTTAACATCTAGACACGCAACAAAATGGCGATTATCTGCGATCATATCTGTCGCCTGTGTTGATAACAGATTGTTAACAAACATTGAACAGTCTTTTACAGTTAGACCTTATGCGGGCAATAATTGTTAACTTATGCCGGAACCAATAAAGTTCAACTATAAGATTTTAATACTTCTATTTATACGCATTCGGCAATGAAACAATCATAAATGTAATGTATTATTCTTATATTTATTGAGTAATATGAAACAATAGATGCTTTCCACCTACAGAAACAATAGATGCTGTCCACGTATAGTCGACACCGTGTAAGACTAATATTACATTTGTCGTACGACAACGATTTTAAGTATGTTGATTGGTTATCAGATAGAGTTTTATAAAGAACTCTATTTGGTAGCCAATCAATATATTTAAAATCTTTGTCGTACGACAAATGTAATACTAGCCTAACACAATGTTCACTAGTGTGAATGAGACACACTGATATGCTCTTTCTCACGCTAATAGACAGTATATTACAGTATTTACCTTAATTTTCTCGGAAATTTGACGTGGTAGGTCAATTTTGCCGCTGGATTCGTTTTCAATGACCAAAAATCCATTAAAAAACACTTGTTTATTCAAGTATCAGCATATATTAACAAAAAATTTGTTTGCGTTGTAAAATTGTACTTTAAATTATATTTAATAATAATAAGCAAAGTATTTTTATTCATTGTTGCAGGTACATTGCGTTGCAACATTTTTAGTAAAATAATAATTTAAATAAATAATAAATTAAATGTAGGATAGCTTGAGAATAAGTAGATAAAAATAATTATATGTTAGTAAAGAAGTGGTCTCGCGAACTGATGTGCAGGGGCTGCGAATATGGAGGTCTCAGGTTCAAGTCCCGCTATCACATTAAGATTTTTTCAGGTTCGGATTCTTCCAATGGAGTTCATCGGTTGATCAGCTGAATCAGACCAACAGACAATCATCAAATCTGTTTTGGATTTGATGCGTCACTTTGGCTTTGCTTTGCTTGTGGCAGACCTGTTATGATTTTGGTCTCATTTTGACATCTCATGTTTGACAGATATGGTCGCCAAACCATATCCTAATGAGAACACAGATGGATATGGATTTAATCTACAAATTTCGCCGGCGGTTGGCGAGAAAACCACGACATCCCGCAACCAAATTGTTTGCTGGGTATTTACACTAAGGAGGACCTCACTGATTTTGATGATCTTAAAATATGTTGTCAAGGTAACCATTCTGAACAACTTTTCTTTACACATATGACTGCCGCTCGGCTTTAATTTTCGAGATATTCACAAAAACCTAAGTATATACTTAGGTGGCAAAACGCATAAAAAGACGAAGTCACGTCTGTTCTTGCAATATATATTTGACCTAATAGTATAATAGTAAATACAGTAATTAATGTAAACATTCAGAAAAAACATTTACGTACTATGTTTGTGTTGTAAGTGTGTAAGCAGGGGAGGCTTTGTCTCCCTGCACCCCTTCCCCGAAAAGCCTGCTCAATCTAATCTCTAGTATGTTACTGTAATATAGTAACACAGTATAAATAATAACCAGTAGTCACTCCGTCATTTTTTTAGGGTTATGTCGGCCATGTTCTTAGTCAAGACACATGTGAGCGCACACTATGGGTGCTTTCCAGCTGCGTACACAGACGACACTGTGTAACACAGTGTTCACAGTGTAGTGTGAGAAAGAGTATATTAGCGTGTCGTACTCACACTAGTGGACACTGTGTTACACGTCGCCTGTGTACATAGCTAGAAAACACTTTATCATAACCCATACAGCACAGTTCATTGCAGCTATATTGCAGCAACGTTGCAAGATTGCAAATTACAATGCAACATTACAAAGACATTGCAGAGATATAAATCTGCAACATATTAGCACACTTGTAGCAACATAACAGTAATATTTTAGAATTATTGCAAAAACGAAATTTCGTAATGTAAAATAATAATAATTATATATCTTAGTATTAAAATATAATATAAAACAACTGTTGATAATATTATATATCAAAGAAATGTGATAGCAATTAAGATATAAGCTCATTATAGGAATTTTAAAAATAAGTATATGTATTTTTCAAGAGTTTTAACATATCTATACAAGATGTTTTCTGTTTTAGGTTTTAGGATGAAACATACCCAGATAACACATAAATGTCCATAGGATATCTAATGGACGTCCAAATTCAGACATCAGGACGTCCATTGGGTGTCCGAATAAACTCCAATAGACGTCCACTGATTGTCTTATAGACATTCATTTTTGACAATTTCGGTTATCCATTTGTTTTCCAAAAATAGACCCAAAAAAGATAATTTTAGCGTAATTTCACAGTAATATTAACATGTCCACCGATATGCATCACATTACTGTGATATATAAAAAAAAGAAAAACCAATGGCACATCGCCTTGTGAAAAGAGAATTAAGAGAATTAATTCGAAATTTCACTTGACTTACTTTTTGGAAGCCTGATTCAGGTTACCGATCAACTGATTAACTCGATTAAAGATACCAATCCCGGAAAAAATCTTAAGGTGATAATGAGATTTAAACTCGAGACCTCCATACTCGAGACCTCGCAGCCCTTGCACTCAGTCCGTGAGACCACTTGTTCTTTCCTAAAATGTAATTATTTTTATCTACTTATTCTCAAACTATCCTACACACTTAATTTATTATTTAAATTATTATTTTATTAAAAATAGTGCAGAGTAATGTACCTGTACCAATAGATAAAAATAGTTTTTTTATTATTATTAAATATAATTTAAAATACCTTTTCACAACGCAAATAAATTTTTTGTTAATACTGATATACTGATTATTATAGTCAATTCTTAATATAATATATAGCAAATAAAATATATGACAATATGTATACACATTTATGTGTATCATTATTATATAATAATAATAATTATATAGTAAAAATGTTATACATACATAAAGTGTTTTTTGTTGATATAATACATCTTAAAAACAAAGCGTTTATGTTTCAAACAAAAATTGTAGGATTTTTGCAACAATGTAGCAAAAGATATATGTATCATATTATATATAATTAAGATACAATACGATGTATGCAACTTGCCAAATAGTAAATGACATCTCTAACGTTTATAAGATACAATAAAAACATATTTATATATAATCTTGCTACTTAGGATGCAATACAATATTACCGTAATATTTCAATATTATATATAAATGTAGTTTATCGATAATATTATTGTAATATTGTATTATAATAGTCAATATTACTAATATATTGCAATATTACTAGGATATCTCCGTAATATTACGTGCTATATAAGTATCTCATCATTTTATCTTTATAGTTCATTTGACAAAAATAAAAGTAGAATGATGCAATAGCGCTGAGAGCACGCTTTTCGAACTCGCTCATTCTTATTTGAAGATCGTACACGTGATAGATACATAAAGAATTTCTTTGATACAATATATCTGTCAGTCATAATTAGTTAACATGTATATATGATTACTTTTTTTAATATGTAACACTTTTTATAGATATGTGAGAGTCACTTCATAATTTTTATAAATTTGTAGATATGAAAATAAGATTACTGCAGATAGGCTGAAGAGCAAATATATCCTATGGACGCGTCCAAATATTAGTTATTAAAAGACATCCGAAATCGGACATTGACGTCTAATTCATGTCTGCGGACGTGCAACCATAAAATGGACATAGAACGAACGTCCATAAGACATCCTGTGCTATCTGAATATGAGATGATATGTGAAATAAGAAAAACCTTTATTAAAACAAAAGTTTGCAATAATTTTATATATAAATATGTACTATAAAGCTATACATAAATAATATATTTTTAAAAATTAAAGTATTTAAAGTATTTTATTTTTTTTTACTGTATTTAATGTCTCTCTCTCTCTCACACACACACATATGTGTACATATGTATATATATATATACACATATACATATACACAAATATAATATTTTAATCTAAAAAAAATATATTTATGTATAGTTTTATAATATATATCTTAGATATAAAATTATTGCATTCTAGTTTATATAAAGCTTTTCTTTTTTTCATATATCTTCATATTTTTAATGCAATCTATAAGAAATAAAACTATTTTTATATGCAATATTACTTAATGATTGCAGTAACACTGCGTTATTGCATCTTCGTTACATTCCAATATTGCTATAAGGTTTCGTTGCAATCTTCCTAAAAGCGGACATTTGAACGTTGCTTGAATTCAATAACAATGATGCATTAATATTTCACAATAAAATGGCAATATTGCAACATTAAAGATTCTTGCAATGTATATGCAATATTTGTATGCTGTATGGGTAAATTTAACTGAAAGTTTTTTGTGAATATCTCTAAAACTAAAGCCAAGCGGCGGTCATATGTGTAAAGAAAAGTTGTTCAGAATGGTTACCTTGACAACATATTTTAAGGTCATCAAAATTGGTGAGGTCCTTCCTAATGTAAATAATTATCTATTTAAGTTTAATAACTCGAAGTAAAACGTTTTATATTTTAGTGTAAACGATTTGAATTGTGCTATTTTGATTGGTTGGTTTCAAATTTATATGCAATTGGTACGTGTACAACAGAACCTTTCAACTCGCGCATGACGTGCGATTTGCGCCAAAAGATCTCTATGCAGTCACGTGATCAGTTGGAAGGCTCTGATGTACAAAGGTGAGCAAAAGTTAATTAACAGTGTTGACAGCGCTGTCGCAAACGCGCGTCAATTAACTTTTCTTACTGCTGTATATATTATGTTTCAGGAACTTTTGTTTTCGTGAATTTTTTTGCGTTTGTGAATTTTTAAGTAATGAATAAAGTTGTTATAAAATCTTATTTTGCGCATAACAACAACTTGAATCATATTTTTCGATGAATGTCTTCTAAAAATGAAATACTTTTTACACTTATTATTATTATTTTTGCAATTTGTGTTCGTTTTGTTTTTCAAAAAGCAGGTAAGAGGAAAAAAGTATGATTTGATTTGCAAATGATATATTTATAGTGATTTATTAAATCCTTTAAAATACTTGAAATAGCGTGCGGCTTTGTTAATGGCGTAACAGTGATACAGTCGTTTTAGGTACATAATACGAGATTCGAAGAGAGTAAAGCGAGCGAAGATCGCGCCAATAATTCACTGGCCAGTCATTTGGTAAATTTGGAACGATCAAGAAAGATTTTTCTCGTAGAAGACGTATTGATCTGACGCGATAAGACACAGATTATTAGGTTCGCTGAGCGACTGAATGACTGGAACATGCGCGATCCTTTAGACTCCCTTTTTTCTTCTCATTCACTCGATGATCGAGCAGTCACGATGTATGCGGAGGCGCATCCAGTACACGATCTGTTGAGAAATTGCGCTTGTTTCTCTTAAGATTAGTTTTAGATAGAATATAACGTTATCTATAAGTTATATGTTAGACGAGAGTAAAATCGAGAAAAAGATCCACATATTTACGAGACGGAATTCATTACGATCTAGTCGATCTTACATCGTAAAAGCCGGCCAATGTGCGCGGCGTCGAAAAACTCGGAAAAAAAGAGAAGAGCCAAGAAGCGAGAAATCGCCATCGCCTCTGATATACCGAAGCGATAGGTTCAAAAATACGTGCAAAATGAATAATTTATTTCAACTAGGTTAACATCTTTCGCTCTTAGCGTTTCTTGTGTCGCGACGAGTATATTCTCACACCGACTTGTTTGTCGTAAAGTAATACACAGGGGCACTTCTCGCTTTCTAGCAACTTCCGTCTGGTGAGATGAAATTCACTGTATTAGCCGACCGCTGATTTATCTGTCGTTTTAACAAACTTATGGCACGCTGCCAGGAACGCTTATCGTTCTGTGCGGCAAACTCTTACCCGATTTGTCACCGACTATCCTATAATTATCTCTCAGTTATCAGCAACTTGTTAAACGCGTACTACAAAATTCTGATTTAATAGTTTAAAATTAATCATCATCTATACGCGACAGAAGTTCTTCACACTTTCTTATTTATGTTGCTTTATCTCTAAGATCTCATAATTTTTTAAAATTATAGTTTAAAATTTTCGTAATGCGTATTTATATCTATATATCAGCGGACGGCTGGTAGTTTGTTGTACATTTCAAGACCTCATGATATCTCGTCACACGTGCTTGAATTGAAAATTTCCCAATATCGAAAGAGAAGCTCAGTTCATGTATGATTCGTTTAACATACATCAAAAGTGCAAATTCGTACTGTACGTACGTTAGAATCATTCGCGAATATAATATAGCTCGGTGCACAGTTGTTTTCTCAATCTATTCGTAATACGCTTAACGTTTGTGTTCCAGCGTTAAAATTGGATCCAAAATTTGAGAAGAAAAATGTGAGCAGAGAACTAATGAAATGCGGACGAGTGTTCGCAAAGATGAAGCTCTCATCCTGTTTGTCAAATGCAATCGTACGCGATTCGAATTGCAAATACGAGAGAAAGAATATTGTGTGTAAGTGAGATTGCACTTCATTTTTGCTCGTATCGATTTCTGGTCTATCTAACAAGAAGATAAGAATAAACGTGATCTTAAAACAGTGGAGATTGCAAATCCTCCTCGTCGTCCTCTTCATCTTCGTCGATTCCGGGCTCGCCGAGAGCGTGAACAAATTCTGCAATTAAAGAAGTCACTAATGACACATAGAATAATACAATTATATATATTTCTGTGTCAGATTTTTTTTAATGAAACAGAATTTATCTATCATAGGAGAGATTTTTTCAAGAGTTATTGTTTTCTCTTTCTGTTTTAAATATGAAATTTTTTTATCATTGTAAAGATAATTTATTCTCGAGAATTGAAATCTTTTCTTGAGTGCTTATACTGCATTTTCTTGAATTTTACAAAATCATATTGCAGATAATATGGAACAATAGAAATCTTACCATAAAAGTCAATTCGCCCATCTCCGTCTACGTCCACTTCTCTAATCATTTCCTCGACTAAAAACAAAATAAAACAAAAAGCAATTTATATTTTATAGTTGTGTTTTCAATTTTTTAATCAATATTTTGATCAAATTTTTGATATTTGTAGTGAAAAACACACACAAATTTAATTACTTAAAATTTATTTATTTTTGCATCTCAACTTTGAATTATTTAACTTTAATTTTTATCATAATTTTTTTTATACCATTGTTGATTATGCTTGATCAACCAGAACAATTAATACAACGCAGTATACATATTTTAACACATGCGTGGAATATACATAGGTTTTAAAGTAGTATATTTTTTTGCGGTTTTGTGCACGAATATATATTGTTTTATATACACAGTTTGTCCGGAAAGTTCCCGGACTACGTGAATTAAAAATCGAAAATGAAAGATATGGTTTATTAAACAAGTTTACACTTCAAG